TATATATATATATATACACATTACAAATTCAACGTATAAAATAAATGCATTTATTAAAAACAGAAAAAAATGAAATAAAATGTCAAGAGATAAGTACACTATTTTTTTTTTTTTTTTTAATTGTAAGACATACTATCACGACAGTCACACGTTGACTAATAAGCAAACAAAATTTACCACAGCACTGATTGGACAAGCAATGTAATGTGATCATCTGCAGCCAGTGATGGCCGAGCGGGCGTGTCATAACTAATTGACATGTTGAGTCGGGTGTTCTAACCTCCATGGCAGAGGCTACGTCGAACCCCTGAGACCGATTCATGGAACCCCTCGGGTTCGATCGAACCCAGGTCAAGAACCACTGCATTCGACCTTCATTAACAGAAAAAAAAGAGCAAAAATATGAGGGCTCGAATAAAACAATCAGGCCGGTGGCATCTCTTTTTAATCTCATTGTAATCCCGCCAAATAATCCTCATTGTAAATAAATGCACCTATCATATGATTATGTGATTTTTTTTTTAACAAAAACTTCTTTCATTCTGAAGGGGTAGAGATCGAACCCAGGTCAAGAACCACTGCATTCGACCTTCATTAACAGAAAAAAAAGAGCAAAAATATGAGGGCTCGAATAAAACAATCAGGCCGGTGGCATCTCTTTTTAATCTCATTGTAATCCCGCCAAATAATCCTCATTGTAAATAAATGCACCTATCATATGATTATGTGATTTTTTTTTTAACAAAAACTTCTTTCATTCTGAAGGGGTAGAGGTAAAGTCAAAGAGCTGTGTAATTCAAAGCAGGTGATTACAACTCAATAATCACTCCGAAAAGAACACACTGCCCTCCAAATTCCAATTGAAAAATTATTTACACATGACTACTCTGTGATTGCACACACATTGTTGGATTAAGTCCAAAGCTACATGGCACTATTCATAATACCCTGTCATTTGTAGCGAAATCATTAGAATATGTATCTTAATGTGTTTAAATGAAGAAGAAAATCTTGCGGTTTATGTTTTTCAGACCCTTGATTTAAAAACTTCAAATTGATAAAATGACATAAACTGTGGTTAGCCTCTGTACAGCCCAATTTTCAGAAATATTTATTGATGAGTGATTCACTCTTAGGGACAATTTGTTTTCTAGTTTTGGGTGCAAATCTTAACTTATTCTTGTTTGTTTTCCTTGTATTTGTGTGTCACGCAAAGCTTAACCCGCTGTTCAGAATTGTGCCATACCCTAGCTAATCTTTTCAGGCTTACACTTCCTCATTAATGCTGCTATTTTCCTTGGCCATTTTATTTGTTTCCAGCGCGTCCCCATTTGCCCCATTTCTCTTTCCGTTCTCTTCTTATCTTTTCTTTCTTCTTAAATTTATTTTTTTTTAAACATACTGTCATCCACTGTACCATTCTTTCTTCTCCCTTTTTGACCCCTTCCTCTGGATTTTTCTTCTCTCCTTGTTTAAATTCACTTAGACATAATTGCTGCCCACAGGTCTTCCTCTTGCTGTCACGCTGCAGTCCATCATGTGATGACACTATGTGGGCTTGTTTTTGGGAGCCTGCGCTTTGGCTCAGTGGAAGAGAGACCTAGCTTCCATCTTATGAATGGACCCAGTAGCTTTGCGGTTAAGTCCAACATGACTTCTTCTGCTGTGCCGTCATTGGTAGCGTAGAATGAAACTTTCTTCACTTTGTGGAATCTTATGACAAGTATTTTAAATGGCAGAGGAGGTTTTAATCCCACCAACTGGCAAAATAAACCCGGTAAGTAAACTTCAAATAGTTCCAGATCAAGCCCAAAGTAGAGATTTAAATAACAAAATTGCTAACTGACAAGTGGCTTTTAATTCCATGTGTATTATGTGGCACGTGTTTGACTTATTATTAGGCCAAAATGGTTATTCTATGTGCTTAACAGGACTTTCTAGCAATGTACATTGGCCATTTTTGTCAATTTAGTGGCAGTTGAAAATTTGTCTGTAATATTTTATACATACTAATACAGTGTATTAAAGAGGGTATTGGAAGTGTGTGATATCCCCCCCATCATTGCTTATTTCACTTTACACACAGTTCATGGTTTTAAACAATAGGTAATGTTCCTGCGATGCGGATAAGTGCCAGTTTTAACTGGCGGACAACTATGACCTTCTTTGGTTGACCTTCTTCGGTAGCCTTCAGGAATGTGAACAATGCCAATACATTTTCAGAACAAAATACCGTTTCACTCCAAAATAATACCAACAGTGTTTTCACAGAAGTCAGCCAATATGTGAAGCACCTGCTCAAGGGCTTATAGGAGAGGAATATAGTGATGAATGGGAAATCCATTTCTGTGCTGCATATAAGTGATATGACGAAATGTAAACTCACTGTTTTGTGCAATTTTCTTTCCTGTTTAAAAAGCATCTTACAGGCTCACTGTTGGCAGTGGCTTTTCTTACTTCCTTTGGGAGTTCCATGCTCTATGGATACAATTTAGCTGTGGTCAACTCTCCAGCTGTGGTAAGCAAGCTACACTCCTGTCTGAAAGTATTTCAGTCCCTAAACTTTATTTTTGCTGGACACGAGAACATTTAGGATTGGAATCAAATGACGAATAGAAACAGGAGGCCAACATTGCAAATTTATAATCAGTTGGCCGTCACACACAATTCAGAAGATGGCACCTTTTATTTGAAACCCCCTTTTTTTCATGTGAAAAAAGTATTGGAACATGATTTTTCTGCAGGCTTTTCCCATTACTGTAAATTGATTTGTCAAACAACGAATAGGGCTAACTATCTATGCTTGATTTCATGAGCTTTTTTTTTTCTTCATTTTTTTTTTCCTGCTCATGAAGACCTTATTCATACTAGTTGGAACTATAACCATCATGAAGACCAGAGAGTTGTCTGTGGATGATTGAAGCGTAAGCAGTTGTGAAATTGAGAGAATAGGTAAATTCAATCTGAGCCACAGCACAAACATTGGTAGAGCCAGTTATTCACAAACACAAATTGGGAACATTCGCACGAATAAGCCCAATGCAACCTAATGACCATTAGCAATAGAAATTAAGAGCTGAGGTTCACAATCATGGCATTTTATCCAGAGAATCTCTGACGCAAGGTATATGCATTAGGATTTTTCAAATCTTAAAAGAGATTTTTATGTCTTTGTCAAACCCCCGCATATATTCATTCATTTTCCGAACGGCTTTATCCTCACTAGCGTCGCAGGGGGTGCTGGAGCCTATCCCGGCTGTCTTCGGGCAGTAGGCGGGGGGACACCCTGAACCGGTTGCCAGCCAATCGCAGGGCACACAGAAACAAACAACCATTCGCGCTCAAACACACACCTAGGGACAATATGGAGTGTTCAATCAGCCTGCCATGCATGTTTTTTGAATGTGGGAGGACACCGGAGAACCCGGAGAAAAACCACGCAAGCACGGGGAGAACGTGCAAACTCCACACAGGAAGGCAGGAGCTGGAATTGAACCCGGTACCTCTGCACTGTGAAGTCGACGTGCTAACCACTCGACTACCGGGCCACCCCACGCATGCACACACACACACACACGCACACACACACACACACACACACACACATATATATATATATATTTGACGGAAAATTTTTGATGGAAGATCTACTTTTCGATCAACCATGAGCCTACGATCGACCCCTTACCGCACACGCGCGCATTCGCACACACTTACACATGCACGCTGTCATGAGCAACAGCCATAACGACCACTTTGATGAACGAGGCACAGGATGCACTTTCGCAGCGTGCTAACTATTGTAGCTCACATGTACCGTTTAAAAATGCTTCTCTCAGCCGCCCAGATTCCCATTCTTTGCAAGTACTCTCGGTGAATTGTACATGAAAGGCTGTTTTTATTTTTTTATTTTTATTTTTTTTACAGCAGCCCCCTGACTGACATCTCGCCCTGCTAATAGAAACGTGTGTCGCAGGCTATGACGCAAATCCTCATTGACGAAATGATGACATTTAATATTTATTCGACAGAATCAGAAAATGTTAATGTTTGTGTCATGTTTGTCCTCTTACAGAAACCACATTAAAACAAAAAAATTCTATTTCCCTCCCCCATCTTTTTCCATTTTAAAATTTTTTGAAAAAGCTCCAGGGAGCCACTGGGGGACGCTAAAGATCCGCATGCGGCTCTTGAGCCGCAGGTTGCCGACCCCCGGGTTAACATTCAAAGTGACACACATCAAACTGGCCAGGGAACACAGAAATTCAATCCTAAATGAGAAAAGTCTGGGTATTTGGGTATGTGTGCATGTGGGAGGGTCATAATCAGGGGTGCACAGTTTTGGCGTGGTTCTCAAATGAGCGCCAGTGGTTGTTGCTTGGTGCTCCTTTTTTTTCCCCAACCGACCAACCTCATGGATGAAACTTAAGGCACATTTGGGTCAGGTCGATCATTAATATGTCTAGGTATGTCATTTTAATACAACTGAACTCACTTATTTCTTGTTTAGTTCCTAATTACAACAAAATAACATGGCTATACAATGGCAGCTAGTTCAAAAAAATACAATTTACTGTTTGATAAAATACATTAGATTCATATTTAACACAATTGAGTTGCATGGCCTGTTCGAAAAATTTATCGTCCACCCTGGACTTGCAATATTGGACTTTGTGATCAGCTAGCTAATTTAGCATGGTTCTCTCTGTCCATTCTTTTTTTTGCACCTCACTCTGCTTTCATGTTAAGACATATTTTGACGGACTGTCGAAGTTGCCACACAGCAACACAGAGATAACCATCTTGCCAGCTGCCATTCGTGTCATGTAGCCATTAGCGCCAAGTCAGCCACCACAACAGTTGTTCAAAGGCGACTGTGCAATGTGGAGGGGCCAGAGATGGCAGATTTTTTTTCACAAATTGTCTTTATCAATATCTACAATTATCAGATCATAATGACAGTTTAAGCAAATGATAAAAAGGTGAGTTTTTATGACTACTTCAAACTCCCCATTGCATAAAGTTGTTCAACTTGAATTCTTTCAATGGGAAACATAAGTTCAATTTACCAAAAGTCACGTAATAGATTAAATTTGTGAACCAAGGTTCCTCTGTACTGGTCAGTGGCCCGCCCTCACAGTAAAGAGGTGCAGGGTTCCATTCTAGCTCCGGCCTTCCTGTGTGGAGTTTGCATTTTCTCCCCGTGCCTGGGTTTTCTCTGGGTACTCCGGTTTCCTCAAACATTCTAAAAACATGCGTGGCAGGTTAATGGAACACTGTAAATTGTCCCCGGATGTGAGTGTGAGCGTAAATAGTTGTTCATCTATATGTGCCCTGTGATTGGCTGGCAACCAGTTCAGGGTGTCCCCTGCCTACTCTCCGAAGACAACTGGGATCGGCTCCAGCATGCCCCATGACCCTTGGGAGGATAAGCAGATCAGAAAATGGATGGTGGACGGAAGGTTCTTCTGTAAATATATTTGTTGAAGGTTCTTCTGTAAATATATTTGTTGGAACAAAAAAGGCATTCACAAATTGTACTGTATGTTTCTAAAGTGTGAAATATAACTAAAATAAATTTTATGTGTGTCCTCTAATATATCCACCCATCCATCCATTTTCCGATCCGCTTTATTCTCACAAGGGTCGTGGGGGGTGCTGGAGCCTATCCCAGCTGCCTTCAGGCAGTAGGCAGGGTACACCCTGAACCGGTTGCCAGCCAATCGCAGGATACACAGAGACGAGCAACCATCCGCGCTCACACTCACACCTAGGGACAATATAGA